GCAGGAATTTTAGGAAGGCAAAATGTAATTTTTCCATGTTGAATTTGGGCAGGAAATTTGAGCTAACATGCCTTTTCTTTGAGTGCTGGGCACTACTTGATAGCCAAGAGGGGCTTTTTTGGGGGTGAAGGCTTAGATGCCATGTCGATGGCACAGCCTCAAATTAAATATGGTGGATGGCCACCGAGTAGCTTAGCACCAAAGTGGGAGGTATTTTTTAGGGATGTCAGCGTGGTGTTGACTATACAATTAACTGATAAGCCTTGGCTTATTGGTTAATCTTGTTGAATACATATACTCCCCTCTTCCCCCCTCGCCCCCTGCTTGCTGCCTCTGTATCAGAGAGAGCAAGCTGGGGGGAGCGGAGCTGGCGTCTGTAAAGAGTTGGCTTTTAAGCAGGCTCACCACAAGCACCAGATCTGCCTGCACCTACCACCACTGCCGTCTCTGATAGACGCAACAGCATGGAGGGTGCAGGGGGCAGGGTGGAGCCTCCTGATACGGATGGCAGGGGGTTCCTTGGGAGTAGGGTTGGGAGCACACTGGCTGCCGGCCCTGCCCTCAGGGACTGTCGAATAATCCTGTAACTGCTAAGATTTCATGCGGTTACATGACTATTCAGTTACATGATATCTAACAATTTTAGCATTTTTTTAAAATCTGTCTTCTACATTAAAAAACCCCATAACCTTTACATTCCTGTTTGAACCACTCAGGATCCCTGGAGGAATCTTATTGTGTGGATTAGAAATCTCCAGCTGAGATGCGGGTCCCCCCTGTGCTAGGAGCTGTATATGCCCAGGTGCAAGAGTCCCTTCCCTGAAGAATCTGTAAATGGTTGAGTGTGTAGGAAAGGAAGGGTTGTTCTCACCATTTCACAGATCACCCCGGGAGTCCCAGTCACCCCTCCATCTGTATGGGCAGCCTGTCACTCAGGAGCTGCCCTGAGAGTCTGACTCTGAGGAGTGAAATGGCCCTTCCCAATTTTTTATTGATACCATCCTGGGCTCAGGAGAGTCTTTTGTATCTCCTGAGCCAGGCAGAGCCAACCAGGTGAGTCCTGGATGGGAGACCCAAGGAGCAGCGTTAGGGCTTACTAGGGACACTCTTCCCAGCGAGTGGGTTCTGAGCACATGTGCTTTCTGCATGTCCTGTGCTGCTAGAGGGCCCCTCTTTGGGATGAATGCCATCTGGCCGTGTCCCCAGCTCTTGTGCTTCTGTCCTGAGGCTCACAGTACTGGGTGTGTTTCTCAAAGCCTCGGCTCCTGGAGTCGTGCGATTTCCTGAGCATCTCTGCTTCCTTTAAAAAAAATAAAATAAAATAAGGTTTTGGCCTTCATGGCTGCAGAGAGAAGCCGAACAACACCAATCCTAAAGGCTTGTGAATCAGAAAGCAAATAAAACGTTGAATAAAATCATGTTTATTAAAAATCACTTTTAAGCTAGTCTCACGTTTTTGAGAACAGAGTCATGATATTTGAACACTGGGCCTTGGGCACACAGAAGGGAGTTTATAGCTTTTCAGATCTCACTGTGCTTTCTGAGATTTGCTGACATCCAGTCTGCCTTAATTCCCCTGGCTGTTGGCCTTTGGGGACAAGATTCTTCACTTTCTGCCAGAAGCTGCTGCATTCCACCCCGGAGTCAGCCGTGTTTGTTAGTGAAACAATCCCAACAGCAGCTTGTTTTGTGGTGGCTTTGCCTTGCTGGGCACTGTTAAGCAGCTATTGTGCTGCCTCCCAAAGTCAGTTGTGTCTGAGAGTGGCGAGTGAAGCAATCCCTGGAGTTGGGTTTGTTTTACAGCTGGTTAACCAGTGTTCTGGTAGCCTTCAAAATGAAACGTCCATTGATCATCTGACTGTTTTTTTTCCCTCTTTAGTTCTTACATCTCAAATTGTAACACTATGCTGCTAGACTTTGCAGGTATACTCTGTGGAATTTCCCAGTCAGCCAGCTATGAAATTGTATTTATTTTTTATTTAAAAATTGTAATTGTCTTTTTTCTAGGCCAGAAAAATAATATAGTGTTCATTGCATCCCAATCTTGAGCATATGGCATTGAACTGCCCACTCCAGAAACAGCGCTATGAGCACATGATTTCACTGCAGCAGTCAGAAATTCAGATGCCCTGGTGATTCCCACCAGCATTTCGCAGCTTTCTGTTGATGACTGCCCTGACTTTGACCCATCCTCTTTGAGGCATCTCCATAGAAAATATCATTTGTCCTCATTCTGGCAGCTGACTGGCAATCCAGGCACCTAGATCTGTTCCTGGCTCAGCTCCTGGCCTCTGGGTGTCCTTAGCTAACTCACTCGCCTCCCTGTGCCTCTCTTTTCCTAAAGTCCTAGGGCTGGAAGAGCTTTTCCCAGCTCACAAATGGAGGTAACCCAGCCTCCTTTGGTAGATAGAGGATCTCAAAGCACTTTAGAGTTGATATTTATCTATCAACTATTTATTATTTATACAGTTATCCGTCTGTTCTGCTTTAGAAAGTTCCCTGTGCTACCAAGGTGCTCAGTAGACAGGCAGATGGGCCTTTTTTAAAACCTAAGTGATGGAAACAGAAACCAGGAATCCTGACTCCCAATGGCCTGCCCTAACCATTAGGCCACTTTCTCCCTCCCCTTCCCCCCAGCTGGGAATCAGAGTTCCTAGCTCCAGAGCCTTAGACCATGGTAAGACTGAGTCTCACATGATCCTTTAAAATCCACACCTCTTCACGATTCATGTTGCTCTTTGCCGTGAGGAGCAATGCCATGTGCTTCATGCCCCGTGAGAGTCGTGTCAAACCCACCGTGTTCACTGTTTAAGGGGAAACTGAAAAGCTTTTCAGTCTGCCAGGGCCAGTATTCATAAGACTGTTGCAGGAAAAACACAGAGGCAACAT